AACTTTTGTTCATGTTCTTAGTCTAATTATTATTTTAAAGTTATTTATGTGCAATTACTTATGATTATATAAGGATTATATTTCAGGCTGTATATTATAAAGAAAAATACAAGAGAAAAACCAAACGTTTAAAAGAGTTAGTGCAAAGAAAAGGGTTGAGAAATCCTGACTTGTCCCATCCTTTATATTCTGATTCCATTAAATCCTTCATTATTGATTTGCTAACTGATAAGATTTGTTTTCTAGCTCTTCAAACGGTCACTGTGCTTCGCGGCTGACCCAGTAAAATCGGTTGATTGAGCAAGAGATTGTCTGCTTACGTATTTCCAGCAGACGAATGATTTCACATTTGCTCCTCCTGTGTGTATGCAAATTCAGAATTGCAGTTTATCTGTTAACTGAGGGAGATGATAGGAAAACTTCTCACGCATCTGTTATGGAGAGTTTTGATAACACAGAAGGATTTATGCTTTACATAAACTGATTTAACGTTTTAGCTGTTTGAAAAATAGTGCATAATTTATTAAATTTGATAATGATTAAAATTTAATTATTGAATAATGTAACGACAAAGGCATAATTTGTAATTAAATATTAGATTTTTATTCTAAAATAACTTAATTGTTTATGCATTTAATTAAAATGTTTATTAATATGAAAGAATTAAAAAACTTACGAAATAAAGAATGTTTTCAGTATTTCGCTTTCGATCTATCTTACACATCAGAAAGGTAACACAGTTATTTTTTTGGCATAAAATCAAGTCATCTCTAGGGGTTTCAAAATATGTTTTTGTTTCTAATGTCGGAGATTACAAAGAAATCTGTAGGGTGAACAAACAAAGATAATTGTGCCTCGCCTTCCAATACTCTTCCCAGAGTGATCCAGGATTTAAAGGCAGAGTAACGGCTCAGATGTGAGATATCCACCTCCTCTGAAGATTGCACAATTTACAAATTTGGGTTGAAATAATGTTCATTCGATGCAGATGTTTTAAAAGGCATCTGCCTTTTAAAACCAAACGTAGCCAGCAAACCAAACGTAGCCAGCAAACCAAACGTTTTAAAACCAAACGTAGTTTTTAAACGTAGCCAGCAACAAGATGAAAGATAGTATAGTTCGACCGTCTCAGGCGCAACTCTGGTTGGCATTCTGCCAAAACACATAGACTCACCCAAAAGGGGCGGAATTACTTGCTGCGACGGGAAAGGTCTTCTCTTCTCCGGAAAGAGCTATGCTGGAGGGAAAAAAAGTTCCCATCCTTCCACCCTATTTTGAGAATAATTCGGTCCCAATGTGCGTATTTGCGCTCATGGTCGCGGATGAGGCGGTCGAAATATAACAGATCCTTTTTTTCTGGGTCATGAAGGAGTGTCAAAAATACTGTTATCCATACTTTGTTTCTTTTTGGTAGCATCTTTCCAATAAGCTTCTCTGTAGTAATTTTTTAAAAATCTTTTGATAGTATAAAGAGGGATATGGTTATCAGTTTTTTGGAGCTTATCGGCCCCTTTCTTTGCCAACAAATCATTTCCATGAAGACCACAGTGTGATGGTATCTATTGCATGGCAACTTCTTTGCCCTCCTAAGCTTTAAGTTGTTTAGAAACTGCTGAAGTTTTAAAACATCAGATGACATAGTGATTCAAAAGAAGTTAGAAGAGCAGCTTTAGAATGAGAGAGTAAGGTAACCTTTGAAAAATGTTCAAGTTTACATTGGAGTTGGAATGAGGCTATGCGTATGGCGGTGCTCTTGGCTTCAAAAGCAGTTCTATTGCTTCAAACAGGATTATAAATGAAAAAAGCTTACAAAAGTCGCCAGCACTGCATTAATGCTGTCAGCCAACACAGAGCCATCCATTAACACGTGTAGCCATTCACATATAGAATATAAAAAATTAATGGTTTTCAAAGACATAGATTTTAAAATTTGGTCATTCGTTTCTTTTTGGAGGATTTTGTATAACAGATTAGTTATATTTTATATTTAAATTAACGCATCTTTTTGTTAAAAACAGTTATGGACTTGAAGTAAATCACCACTTCCGGTTGTCTGTTACAAAGTATCATTGCATTAAGAAGTTAGGATCTCCATAATCCATGTTATGGAGATCCTAATTTCTGCTTATTCACTAAAAGCTATCTATCGAATTTTTGGAACGAAAAATTTACTTTTTTTAATAGGGAAGTACATAGATTGGAGGGTGGTGAAAAGCTAGGGGAGTTAAATCTCATAACAGAGGAAGCTGTCTGAGATAGCCGGAGCTTTACTGGAAATATGGTATGATGTCCTTTATTAATGAAACTTCTATGCCAGTAACGTTGTTTCTGCAGCTGGAGGTTACCGACGTTGTAGTCTAATACTGAAAAGGATGTCAATTAGACCAGACTTAAAGCATCACGTGACATGTAGCATTATTGTTGGGTTCATATGTGATCACTCGAAGAGCATGCTAAAGAGAAGCTCCAGTTACAAAATGCCGTGTAGACTTCATTTGAGGAAAAATTAAAAAAAGAATTAATTAAATTATTATAGAAGGCCTCAATCATCATTTAGTTCTGTGGTAATTATGTATTCAACCAGATAATCAACAGAAAGAGAATACATTAAAAAAAAATAATAGGTCTTCAGGTCTTCGCATATAACGATAACTATAATTTTCATCTGTTTTTTGTTTACTTTGAATTTTATTTAATTTTGATTGTAAGTTAGTGTTAAAAGTCGTTGTCGCATAAGTATGTGAATGGAATGAATGCTCTTAAAGCCACCAATTGCGATTCTAAAATATCCAGAAATTCTACATCTGAATACTTTATGATATTTTGCCACTTTCCATCTTTTCTACACTGATATACTTTGGGTATTTCATAATATTCTAGTTTGAATTCAGAAGCCCTTCATTCAAATATTTCGTTACGTACGTTCACAAACGTAGAAAGAAAGCTAATGCAACTTTCAATTTCATGATATAATCTGACAAAATTTCAAATAAATGTTGTCTTTGTTCGAATGTAATTTAGCTGAAGGAGGTTTGAGCCAATTAAGTTTATTATGAGATCTGTTATTAAACAGCCAGCTGTGATGACTAGTCTAGAAACATGATCTTCTATGTCACCTTCAGCTGAAAGTCATTTTCTTTCAATACACTCATATGTTACAGAAAAGCGAATTTTAAATTTCTCAATACATCTTCCCCCCCAATTCAGAAAACCTTCTGCCTGATAACTATAAAAGAAGAGTCTCATTTCATTCGCATATAAAGTTTTTATGCATGGAAATGGAAATTAACAGAAAATTAAATTTAATGGAAATCCTGTATGGTATGCTGTACCTCTAAAGACACCGCGAAATCTCAAATTTAATGTCCAATTTGAATTAATTATATGTGAAGCGCTATACAGTATTGTAACTGCTGGAAATAATTATAACTATTATAAACTAATAGATCTGATATAAATTATTACTCAGTTACAAACAATTGTAACTACATAAACTATATAAAATATTTGTATACATTTTGGATTCTTTCATATGACTGTCTACTAGCGGCCGAGAGGGTAAGACCGCTGAAGACTTGCAGTTCATTTCGGCTCAAATACCGGCGAAATTGGTTTTCTCCATGTGTAACAGGAATATAAGGAACTATTCCTTAGAAAGTCCGTCACGAAGGCATTCCTCCACTCAGGTAGTTAACTCTTGTATGATTTTTAATCTAAATTCAGTTACAGTTCATAATTTAAAAAATCTAAATTCAGTTCTATAATTCGGACACTCAATATCCCCCCGAACGGGATTTCTTTATATGTAACATGGATATCAGCAAGTATTCCTTAGGAAATCTGCCACGAAGGTATTACTCAGCTTAGGTAGTTAACCCCAGTATGCTTCGCCATAATATAATAAGTGCAAATTCAATTCTTTGATTCAGATATTTTATATACTGACTTCATATCCCGGGGTTTCTTTATGTGCAACGTGGATACAAGCAAGTATTCCTTAGAAAGTCCGGCACGAAGGCCTTCCTCAGGCAGTTAGCTCTAGTACGTTTCTCCGTAATATTATAAGGTATTGGCATGCCTTAGCTGTGTGGTGGTCTGTACGCTGGGCGCGTATTCCAGAAGTCCGTGGTTCGATTACAGGTGAAAGCGTTGCATATTTTTCATCTTGCCTACTTCCAAAAAATACCTAATGTCTCTACAATATAATAAATTCAGATTCAGTCCTTAAATTCGGACATTCTATATACTGACTCCATACCCGGGCCTCTTCATAATCTAATAAATCCATATCCAATCTCTTAATTCTGACGCTCTATATACTGACTCCATATCCAATCTTTTAATACGGACGCTCTATATACTGACTCCAAATCCGGGTGTAACATGAATACGAACAAATATTTCTCAAAAGGCTCGCCAGGAAGGTATTCTTCCACTCAGACAGTTAGCCACAATATGCTTCTCTATAATCTAATAAATTGAAATACAGCTGCTGAAAGCTACCAACCGTGAAACTGAAATATACTGAAATTTTACATCTTGATGCTCTTGATAGTCCACTACTTTACATACTAATCTGATTTTTCTACTAGTTAATAAAACTCGCGAAAAATATGAAGATTTTATTTTTCAGTAAGGAGAAAAATGTAATAAAATTTTAAAAACTTTTTAAAAGTTTTTTTCCGGGGAAGGGAAATTAATTTTTTGAGCAATGATGTTCCACTTCTTTGAAACCAATTTCATTTATATCTGCAAAGAGACTTGCCCACGTTGTGTAATTTTTGAAAATATTATGCTCTGAATTGGCGATTACAGTTTTAATTTTTTAGGAAGTACTCTACTTTGCCATTAAAAAATAATAATGTACACCATTAAACAGGTTTGTTATAAAATGCGAACACTGAAAATATTTCGCCAATAGAGCGATAGATAGATAACTCTGGACAACTTTCATGCTCAACATCAAATCAGACAACCTCCTCTCCCGCTAGAATCATCGTTTATTCTTGAAGCTCCAGACGACAAGCAGCGACACTTGGAACTAACTGCATCTTTTGAGATTCCTCTCCTTTAGTAAGGATTGAATCCCGTTTTTATTTTAAGAAAAGAGCATTTCTTCATTAGTGAAATTTTCGTGGGATTTCAACGCAAATCGATTTGAACCGGCGCTGAATTTTCACATTTTATTCTCCGGGACCTATAATTCACCAGGTGCTCTACGGCCGGTGGTTCGCTGATCTAGAAAGGTAAGCTTTTTTAGAAAATCTTTACTCGCAAAACAAACGCTGAGATATTAATAGATGTTACTCGATTCAGGGTTGCTTATTTTTAGGATATGCGTACGTACAAGTTTTTTCAGAATGGAGGTCATACATGTTTTTGGTTCCTGCATTCGTGGAGATGTTTTGAAATATTAAATAATGGAATTTATTACATTAATGTAAGTAGTAATTACAGTTGCCTCCGTCTGCGGGTGGTAAAAAATAAAACACAAATTTTTAGAAAATTATTTTATATTCTTTAGAAAAAGGTGTGCTGCTAATAAAATTTAAAAATATATGCGAAAATTATTAAAAAAATATTTGTTGAAATGTGCACTAATATCCAATAAAATATCTTTCTGTATCACCCCTTGTTTGCATTTTGGCAAACCAGCAATTGATATTTACTATCTTACCAAATATTAATATTACACCCATTTTATGTAAGTTTAATTTTAAACCAAACGGAACATTTTTATAGGAGTAAATATGCCAAATTGCTGAAAAATATTTCTGTAAGAAAGATGATTTTTTTGCTGTCAGCTTAATTTAAATTTCACCTTCAGGTTTTTATGCTATGGGATAGAAAGAATGTAGATAGGCATGCGCTTTTCATATTTATTTGTATTCTTAGTGCCAATATTTACATTTTGTATGCATGTTTATTTGCACTTTTTGTGCAACCTGGAAATATTTACTCTGTAATAGTATAAAAAATATACCAATAGTATAGGAAATAGCTATAAAGAATAGCTTGTAACAAAAATTGATGCTGAAACAAGAATGCGAAGAAAGTAATAGAATATGCACGTGATTTACTGAAAGTGCTTCGTAATTTTTTTATCTTTAAAAAGTATAATTTTGCACTTAAAAGTATTGCAGTATGCATAAAAGCATTTAATAGACACGTTTTATAAATTACCTTAATCTTCCAATTAAAATAGCCCCCCTCCCTCAAAATAGCTTCTTAAAAACCTATATTCATCTTACATGCAAAGCAGAGATATAAGAAGTTCATTAAGATAAAATATCACTTAACTTTCATATCAAAAGAAAATATGTAGTAAAATTCTGATAACTAGAACATTGGCAAGTCGGACAGAATATTGAAAGAATTCGAAATCTGTATTAGCTTTGTTAAGGCGAATTTTCGATTACTTATCTTCTGCTTTCTTCGGTTTCGATTCATCAGTGTTCGACCACATTTACCTAATTTTATGTAGACTAGATTGACAAGATTATAGCAAAGCATTCTTTGGCTATCTGTTCAAGGGAACAGAATGGGAACTTTCTAAGTAGAACTTTCGTGTAGAGCTTTCTAAGAGTAACTGGATTGTATGATTTCTACGGGTAACCGTTTCATATGATTCGCATTAGAGGTTTCGGGATTTTCGCAAGGGGAGAACTTTCAGAAAAACTACAAAATTCATAATGTAACCAATTCATTTGCCAGGACTTGACAGCCTCCTGTTAGGTGCCTCCGCAGTAAAATGGCCACCACTTCCGGTGTTAGAGTGGCCAATGTCGAATAGATAAGTGCCCGCCTTCGGGGGGCAAAAATCTGTAACATTTCTAAATGCAAAGTAATTTACACTCCTATTATTTTTTGGATTACTACTATTACTTTTAGAGTCACTTTACAAACAACTGAACATTTATTCTGAGTATTTGAAAATGTACTTTGAAAAAAAAAATGTGTAGTTTATTCTAGAATATCAGTATAGTTTCATTGAAAATTAACGCAAAATTGCATGTGTTGTTTCATAGTTAAATTCCTAAAACATGTTTTAAAATATTCGGCGTATTTTCTGTAAAAAGTTAGAACATTTTTTGTAAATAAGTAATTTGTCTAAATATGGCTTTTTTATATGGTTTACATAAATGTTCTCACTAAGAATCTTTGCTGTTTGGAGGGAGATATTGCCAAATACAAAGAAACATTTTCGTAACATAAATGTCAGATTAATAAATCGAAATTTAAGTATGTTGCAACATTGCATTTTTTCAGCACGTCTCATAACAAATCTCATAATTAAACAAATAACAGCTTCTATATTTGCTTGTGCCCCATATCTACGTAATACATCCACATATCTACTAGACGGCCAGATATTTACGTGGCAGTATAATGAACCTTTTTACGGGCTATGCGTCTAAACTGTTCTTCTGTTCTTAACTGGAATTTTATTTTAACCCATATTTTTCTGTTCACTTTAACTTCATCTCATCGAAATTAGATTTCACTTTACTGTAAAACTTATAAGAGCTAACCTTCTTGGATATCATAAAATGTGATTAAATCTACTTAGGGGTCAAACCTTTGAGAATTCTTGTACAAGAAAAGGTTCTAAAAGACACTTTTATTAATCACAGCTCTTTAACAGAAAGGCATCGACTTACGGGCATACAACAGCATAAAATAGTTACGGTGAGAACTTTAAAGGTAATTTAAATGTAAAGGTAGTGAGTGATAAGACTACACAATTCAAGTTTAAACCTAACAGGCTGACTCAGAAACATAAACCGGCGATATACTAACTAGGCTGCCAGAATGCGTAGCCACTACTAGGATTAACAGCTAGAGGACAAAATAACAACGTTCACTTCACCAGCAAATTCCCTGCTATGTCTAACCTTTTCGTTTCAAAAGTTTAAATACTCTAAATACCTATATTTATTTATTACTTATTTTAAAAAAATGTTTTAACTTTTTACAGAAAATACGCCGAATATTTTAAAACATGTTTTAGGAATTTAACTATGAAACAACATATGCAATTTTGCGTTAACGCTCATTAGCAAAGCAGATGGAGATTCTGTTACTATAACAGTATAAGGATTCTTGTACATTTGTGAAATTGCTGGTATGGGCGTCTGTATGCGGGAGCACAGTGGGGAAGGGAAACAGAACCTCTATCCAAATTATTGTATACAGCTGCTAGCAGCTATATGAAGGCCATACCGCTACATTTGCTGTCGACATACCGGCCCTAGCCTAAGCTAGCAGTGGGGAAGGATTTCTTACCATAGTAAATCTCCTCGTTCTTAGTCCAAACAAATACGGCAAACATTAACTTCAGATTAGGAATTGAATCCTTGCTAATTATGAATTCAAATAGTTATTTTAACATGATAATTTTCGCAGCTACAATACAAGTGCTCTAACAATAAGATAATTACCATGTAAGTAAATTTAACATATTTCTATTAATGTAATATCAGAGGGCTTGTCCAATCTAAGATTAATTTGGAAGCATTTACAAATGCAATATTATCTTGTACTTGATGAACATTTGCCTGTAAATATTAAATTAAGAACATAAAGGTCTCCCCGCACGCAGTTCTCGTGCAATTCTCATCCAACCAGAATTCAGCAAGTAAAAGAAAATCCCGAAAGTCTTTTTAATGCAATTCAAAAGTAATAATTATTTAAAAAGTTTTTTTCTTTTGCAATTGTTTAATTTTTAACTTTAATGTAAGTTTATAGGGTTTTGTTTAATTATACTAAAGTTATTTTAATTTTTGAACCTTTCCTGAATTCTCTTATTTTCCCCACGCATTTCCTCCTTAGAATGCAAAATTAAGTAGGTGAACGAGAGTATTTAAACTTTTGAAACGAAAAGGTTAGACATAGTGGTGATTTTGCTGGTGAATTGCACGTTGTTATTTTGTCCTCCAGCTGTTAATCCTAGTAGCGGCTACGCATTCTGGCAGCCTAGTTAGTATATCGCCGGTTTAGGTTTTTGAATCAGCCTGTTAGGTTTAAATTTGAATTGTGTAGTCTATCACTCACTACCTTTACCTTTTTGTTAAATTACCTTTTGTTACCTTTGTTCACTCACTACCTTTTTGTTAAATTACCTTTAAAGTTCTCACCGTAACTAATCTATGCTGTTGTATGCCCGTAAGTCGGTGCCTTTCTGTTAAAGAGCTGTGATTAATAAAAGTGTCTTTTAGAAACTTTCCTTGGACAAAAATTCGCAAAGGTTTGACCCCCCAAGTAGATTTAGTCACATTGTATGATAGCCAAGAAGGTTAGATCTTATAAGTTTTATAGTAAAGTGAAATCGAACTTCGATGAGATGAAGTTAAAGTGAAAAAAAAAAAAATGTTGGTTAAAATAAAATTCCAGTTAAGAACAATTTAGACGCATAGCCCCTAAAAAGGTTCCTAGACTGCCACGTAAATATCTGGCAGTCTAGTAGATACATGGATGTATCACGTAGATATGTGGCACAAGCAAATATAGAAGCTGTTATTTGTTTAATTATGAGATTTATTATGAGACGTGCTGAAAAAATGCAATGTTGCAACATACTTAAATTTCGATTTATTAATCTGACATTTATGTTACGAAAATGTTTCTTTGTATTTGGCAATATCTCCCTCCAAACAGCAAAGATTCTTAGTGAGAACATTTATGTAAACCATATAAAAAAGCCATATTTAGACAAATTACTTATTTACAAAAAATGTTCTAACTTTTTACAGAAAATACGCCGAATATTTTAAAACATGTTTTAGGAATTTAACTATGAAACAACACATGCAATTTTGCGTTAATTTTCAATGAAAATATATTGATGTTTTAGAATAAACTACACTTTTGTTTTTTCAAAGTACATTTTCAATTACTCACAAGAATAAATGTTCAGTTGTTTGCAAAGTGACTCTAAAAGTAATAGCAGTAATCAAAAAAATAATAGGAGTGTAAATTATTTTGCCTTTAGGAATGTTACAGATTTTTTTCCCAAAAAAGGCGGGCACTTACCTATTCGACATTAGCCAACACCGGAAGTGGTGCCCATTTTACTGCGGAGGCACCTAACAGGCGGCTACGTTTGTGGCACCACCTCGTTGTTTTTGAAATAATATTGGACTTCGGTTTCTCGAAAAGAAAATGAAAAAAAAAAGTCAACTCAACTTCACCCGAGAAACATTTGACTTAATATACGTATATACATCATCAACAACGAGAAAAAAAA